AAAGCGCTTTGAGTGGAGTGTCCAGAAAAGCGCTATATAAGTGTAAGCAATTATTATTAATTATTATTAAATATATTTTTCACAATTGAAATTTAAAGTAATCTTGTTTTTGTAACTCTCTTTTTTAATGAATTTAATATTTAAAATACTGTAATATACAGTTTAAAATATAAAAAGTCTAAACAGTATACAACTTAAATTCTATAACTGGAAAAAAATTGTCCCTCATTAACTGGGATTCAAAACTGGGCATTTTCTGGCAACAGCTCAAATGCTTCCACAGGCCAAATTTAGCTTTTAGGGCTTCACCAGGTGGTTTTACAAAGTAGCGCAGTCCGACAACTGAGAATTTTTAAAAATGTGCGGTAACCTGCAGTGCAGGCACCATAATGTACTGTATTATCCAGCCCCCTTCTGAATGGCTGCATCTGTACATGGTAGTCTGGTAGATGTCTTTGTCCTGCAGTTGACACCTAACCTCAGGGAGTGTTACTGTACATCTTTGAGACAACAGAGCACACATCTTGAAAGTGTATATGGTTTTGTAGTCCCAAAGAAAACTCAAACACACAAACTAATTTTACAGGAGATTTTCATAAATGTCTTCTGAAAGGGATTTCCAGTAATTCAGATACTCAAATCTACAGTATGTGTTCCAAAATACATCATCATTCATTCCTGACATAAGTGCCACTTCTGCTGTAGTGGTTTCAGACAGCTGCTGCAGGGGACGAAACTTGAGCCAAGATGCCCAGGATGACTGCTAGACAACTGCTGCTTTACAGATAGAAATAATAACATTTCGCCTTCACAAATTTGTCTGTGCTTCGTAACAGGAAACAAAATCTCAATAGGAAGAATCAATTATTACAATTGAAAATGTGCCTAACCAATATAAAGCATACTGTACTTCTTTGTGCAGCCTTTTCGTGAATTTTGTGCTATAAACATGTTGGTGAATATGATACCATGACTTATTTCAAAGAATGACCAAGATCTATGGATCAGTTAGTAAGTACTATAATAGATTCAGACAAAATGGCAGCCTTGTCACTCCCATGGCAATCCCATAAGACCATCATGTTCTTTCCTCTGTTATACTGTAGCACCTCATACTGTACCTTTATTTAAAGTTCACAATCACATTATATATCCAAGGACATCCATTTTCTAACTGCTTCATCCAACACAGGGTTGCAAGGGAACCTGATCCTATTCCGGAAACAATGGACTCAAGGGGGGGATACACCCTGAACAGAATGCCAGTTTGTTACATAGCATACACACATATACACTCACACACACTCATACACTCACACACACTTACACACACTCACACACTTACACACACTCACACACACTCACACACACTCACACACACTCACACACACTCACACACACTCACACACTTACACTCACAAAAGGGCCAGTTCTCCTAGAAGCTAATGAACCTACCAGTATGTCTTTGTGGGAGGAAACGGGAGCATGTGGCGAAGACCCATATGAACACGGGGAGAACATAGAAATTCCCTGCAGAGAACCGCCCAGTAATGGAACCCAGGGCTCCAGCACTGCTAGGCAGTAATGCGGACCAGTGCGCCACCATATCTGTCAATATCTATGTTTGTCCACATTTTTCAATGTAACAGGATACAATTTTCAAAACGTTAATTTATATGGACAAAATTTAAGTGTAACTCACTTGAATATGCCAAACAAAAAACTAGAATTTTGAAAAATATTGAGAATATTTATATAACCCTACTGCAAGTAGGACTAACAATATTCAAAATGGTATTTAAAATAGAAATTTAATATAGAAAATAGAATAGAAATTACGTGTTATATTTTTAATTGTATGCATTGATGTTTTCAATAGATTACATAAATGGGGAAAAATCAACTTTATAATGGAGACTATAAATCACAGCATCTATTTTTCTTGTTAAACAAAAACATTCTGACCTGAAAAAAACTCAATATGTTGTAATTATTTAACTGACAAAGAAGGTCTATCTTACCGAGCAAGCACATGTTTAAGAGGCATTGATTAAGCAACAGGTGTTTGCGGCTCAGGGAATGCAGAATAAGCAATGTCTGCTAAGACTGAGATGTGCTACTCTCTTCAGAATGCTGTAGAAGCACAAAAGGCATAACCTGGCCAGTCTGGTAAATCAAATTCAAATTAATTAAAATAAGAATGGTAATTAGAAAGAATAAACTAGGTTGGGCTAGAATACTGCAGGTTTTACTGACTCTTGTGAACAGTCATTGTGGGTGGAAATGGTATATATTAAAGCTATTGCTCTTGGAGTAATTATGATTAACTAATCAGTCATGACTGACTATGATAAACTTAAATAACTTTGTATTGCCAAAAGCACTACTTCTAAAACAATTAAAAACCAAACGTATCTTAATTACCTCAATAGTGAGTAGAGATAATTGGGCACAGACAAAGTGATTTAAAGCGATTTAATCTGTTGAATTTTTAACCTGGTAAAAATCAAGAAAAAGCACAAAACCCTACTTATCAAGAAAAACAAACTTCATGTCATAGGGATTTTGGAGGCTGGACTATGCGATGTAACAGCCGAACACAGTCCAAAAATGACTTATGTAAATATGTAAATATCTTACTGTGACATTCAAATTTTTATGCAGTTAACTCCTCTGCACCGGAAACACCAGGTTGCACCAACCCACACATCAGCAGTTCAATTCTGAGGATTAAACATGCAGGCCAGGTGACCACATACATTTCAAGAGCTTGTCAAGATTCATCAACACAGCAGAATAAGTGGTCGACACCTTAGGTGGACTCATAGTGGAGTCAAGTCCTCATTAATGATGAATCAAGGTTTTGTGAAGACACATCCCTAATAGAAGTGATTGTGATGAAGATGTGTAGGACAGTACACTAATCATTATACAAAAGATCAATTGATGGGGAGGTCCAAGTGTGTTTGGTCTAGGCAGGAATATCTAGTTCAGTGATTCCCAATCTTGGTCCTAGTGACCCACACACATATTGGTTTTTGTTCCAGCCGAAGCCTTAAACCTGTCACTCATTTAATAATAGTATTAATTGGAATTGTTTCTTCCCAGCTTTTAAACATGTTGGGAGATTTAAGCATTGTATTTTGTAAGTAAAATAAAATCCAAATATACAATTGAAGCAACTTCTTAGATCAAGTAAGGCTTCAATTATCTAATTAAGGTGGGATGGAATGAAAAACAGCAGATGAGTGGGAACCACCAATCTAGTTGATACAAAATTCCACTTGCAGTGATTCAGGGCAACTTGACTGTATGGCACATTGATCAAGTTCCTCCCTTGCTGCCCTTTCCATGGGCTCACTACTGAACATTAATGAGATCAGGGGGGACTATGTGTGAGATACAGGTTTAGAGATCAGGGAATGAGCATATATTTGTCCAGGCCCAATGAAAGGAATGGGAAAGAATCCCACAATATGGCAACGTGGTGCAAAGCATATACAGAACTGCAGCTGAACACCCTCCATTATTTGCAACAGTGGCCACACATGCTACTTACATGAATGTGACTTTCAAGGTAGAACCTCTGTTGATCAACACTGTTGATGGCATCATAAATTTACTAATGTCATGTCTGTTTGATACAATCTCAGTATACTAGCTACAAAACAAATAACATCTCTCCTGACAACAGAGAACAGATCTTTTGTAGTTTTATTTGCAAAAATCTGAAACTTTACCATTCACCATTGCATTCTCTTTAATTTCAACCTAATTGGGATAACTATTCATTCAACACGCAAGAAGTGAAGACAAATGCAGTTTAATAAAAACTGTATTATCAAGCCTCTTGTAACAACCAGAATTGATACTAAGAACAGAACAAGTGGTTTTTACAAACCTGCTAAAGCAGGAGTACATTCCATTCTAATCTATTGTGAGACCTAAATATAACTAGTCCTACATACCGTACACTTAACTCATAATTACTTATATTATAAAAGATTAGCCGTAAAACTTGCAAAATAATGGAACAACAGAGGCATGTTACTGCTTCTTCTTACAAAGCTCAGTATTGTGGGGGTTGCCACAGAGCTGTGAAAATACATATCCTTCAATGTGCCTTGGTTAGTTTTTCCAGATATATGCCACTCCTATGGATTTGTAGACATTACTTGGCAGAAAATGTGCTGAAACCAAAATTCTATTTTAGATGACCATCTTGAGAAAAATCCAAAGCCATTATTAGCATGAAGTAAAAACTGACTAAAAGATTTCCTGCTGAACAGGAAAGGACACCTACCCATCATTTATAAACAGAATGTGACCAGGCAGGCGGCACAGTGGCACAGTGTTTAGCATTGCTGCCACACAGCACTTAGCCAATGGGTTCAATTGCAGACCTGTGTGGAGTTTGTATGTTCTCTCTATGTTCGCTTGGGTTTTCTCCAGGTGTTCCAGTTTCCTCCCAGTCCAAAAACATACAGGTAGGTTAATTAGCTTCAGAGAAAATTGGCCCTTGTTGTGTGTATTTGCGTGACTGTCTGCTAGGGTACGTTGGACTTACTTTGGGGATTTGAGATCTCTGTGTATGATTTTGTGAAGATGTAGGTAGTTCATGCCGCTGGCTATCCCTGAGGCCCAGTCCACTAGCAGTCTTGGGGAGATTTTGCGTCCTGCTCGCAGCACCTCATACAGCTGCCCATGAGCACAGTACTCCATGATAATGCAGTAGCACGGAGCCTGTGTGCATACGCCCCTGCAAATATATACACCAAGTTCACAGGCAACACAGATCACACATTGTGTAAACTAAAGAGAACATTTCAACATCCAATACACTTGCTGGAATGAATAAACTATAATTAAGACTTCTCCGAGACATTTACACACAACTCTGTGGTCTGTAAGGCCAGTAAGCTACAAAGGAGAAGGCTGTAGGTGCAGCAAATACCAAATGCTAAAAAAACATCATGATCGTTCAGCTTTTTTAAAAAACTGGAGTGAAGGTTGCTCTTAAAAAGGACATGATTAAAGGGGTACAGCAATGCTAATTTCAGGGTTGAAAGAATCTGCATCGATGAGTGCTGTGTACACTATAATGAAAGTAAAATGTACACGTTAATGTGTAAAATCTTCAGTTTACATCATAAAATTCCAGATATGTGCAGCTCCATATTGTCATCACAATTCAAAATGAGGCAACAAAACGTACGGTGACATGAACCTCATAAGCCATTAATGGATTAGAAAGATATTATGGAACTGTTAAATGTATTATATCTTAAAACACTACACGGCCAAGACTGCTCACCACACCATTCCAAAACGTTATCTAGTCTTGTGCTACAAAATATCTTCATGTAGATATAATAATTTACTATTAGAGTCTTTATACAGTGCAAGAATTACACATTTAAAAACAGCCTGAAAGCAGGGGCAACTGCTTTATTGTTTAGTTTCAATTGATTAGTTTGGCATTTTTTCTCAAAGACTGTAAATCTTTTTTCTTTGACCTTCTTGAGACTTTCAGTTTGAGCAGGAGGGAAAGCAAGTACAGTTACTGCAGCTACACTTTCAAATCAACTGCAAATGGATTTATTTTTAATACAGTGGATACACAGAAACTAAAAGTATGGCACATATATGAAACTTAAATGGAGTATGTTTTTTGTGTTAACTTTAAATTGTGCTGATGGACCTTTTCTGTTTATAAAGCATCACTTCTGTATGGAAATAAAAATGATACATAGAACAATTTCAGCATAATAAAGGAGGAAAAAAGAGATTATCAGAATCAGTTTGGGGGTACATTTATGTCCGAATCACCCAGAGTGCAAAGAAGAAGAATGGGAGGTGTTACGTACTTGAAGGCAATGATGTTGGGGTGTTTCAGCTTCCGCAAGTGTTTAATGTCAGTCTCCTTTTGCTCGCGCACCTTCTTGATGGCCACCTCTTCGGAGTGGAACTTACCCAGGAACACAGCCCCTTGCGCGCCACTCCCCAACCACTGCAGCTCCGAGATCTCTTCAAAGGGCACTTCCCATGTGTCTGTGGGGACAACACACACATCAGACTCCCTACTGACCACAGGGGGAGCTGTTTCGACAGCTCTGTTTTAGTGCATTTCCCATCAAGATCTGGGCTTTCTAATATCTACAAAGGTACATATCAACAAACATGAACAGAGCAGTTTTATAGGTGATGTGTGTCTGTGATAAAATTATGAAGGCTGTATGCTGACTGGAAAAAAAGAATTTAGCTTCAAAATAGAATATTTTACAAAGACATATTGTTTTAAAAGACATAAAATGTTGGTCCAAGTAGAATTTTGGCCCTGGAATGATGTGAGTTTTTATGTAAATCTGAAAGCATGAAAGCTCAATTATACGTGTATATAATTGTATATACGTGTATGTATCTGACTTAAAAAAAGTTTCACGTGCTGTATTATCAAAATCTGGTAACTAGATAACCAAAAATAATTGGAAAGCCTATGGTGGATACAATGTTTTCAATCGGGCACATTTTTAAGTCTTATTTGGTGACTTTAAAATCAAAGGACAGTTTTCGACTGTAAGAACAACTAACCAAACATTTTATAGCATTCAATACCTCGAGGGATTTATACTTTGGACAAGCCAGTTAAAATGAAGCATTACAGAACTTTACTAAGGTGTTTTTCATTTGTGTGCAGCATTAGTCATTTCTGTATCTCTTTTACTGACAGAACGTCTACTGCTGCAACAATACGGAGTTAAAAGACTGGAGATTCAAATCTTGCAGAGGCACTTTAAGGGATTTCAAGGATTAAATCCACCTTAATGACATACTATGAATGTTGTATTGGCAAAAACTCACCTTGCTGCTGCAGTTTGTAATCAGTAGAGTAGGCTTTCCCAATAATGTTCCAAACTGGCCGAAGGCATCCAAAGAGGCCCTCCAAGAAGCCCCCACTGCCACTCCCCGTCCGTTGAAAATGCATCTTGATATCGTCATGAGCGTGAGTCTGGACACCACTACTGCCACTATGATCGGCAGGACACCCACCGCCATCCCCTCCACCGCTGCCACAGCCCTGCCCCTGCGGGGCTGTTGTGTCCACTTCCTCATTCTCCTGCAGCTGCAACACACTGTTGTCAAAATGGCGCTGTTCGCGGGATGAGTCCTCACTCACACTGGTAAGGACTGTGTTTGGGGGGCTGCTGCCGAGCACCAGTTCCTCCTCCAATGGCTGCTGCAGGGGGGGCAGGTCCTCAATGATCTGTGGAGGAGGGGGTGAAGGGGGGGTGGCAGTCATCTTGTTTGGGGGATTCCCTGTACTCAACAACTCATCCTTTAGCTTGCCCACTAGAAGGCTAGGAGAGGAGGTCCAAGCCAGCACCTCAGGGGGGCTTCCCATGGTGCTGTGGGTGTGCATGGGATGCCAAGGGCGAGAAGGAGAGGGAAGTGGATTCCTAATGCGCACTTGTGGCTTTGGACAGCTTCAAGTACCCTGCAGAGTTAAAACAGATAGCAAACTGATCAACATCCTAGAGTACAGTGAAAGGGTTCAAAATGAACAAAGCACTGCAACAATTAGCTAGATCTCACAACATTCAGCTTTAAAGTTGAAAAAGATGGCAAAAGGCCTGCACTTGGATGGAACTGTTAAGTTTTTAAAGTCAGAATGCCATAACATGCAACTCACAATCTCTTACAGATCACTATACATCAAGTATGATGGATTGTAATTTGATATTAAAAAATAACCTGAAATAAGACACGATTTATACAAAGGAGTAACTATTACAGCATATAATGCAGAAAACCCCTTTACAGTAATTACTATACACACTATTTTGCCACACCCACATAAACATATTTCAAGTTTAAAATTGACATCAGAAAACAAGCTGATAATACAATCGCCATGACAGAGCAGCTTACAATAAAAACATCAACAGCAAAAACAACACCCACCAACAAAGATGAACCATGCAATAGTTAGCACAATGTGAGTTTATCACAGAAAATTTTAACATTCACAAACATGTAGGTAGCTTTCACTACAAGTAAAAATGTAACATTTACCAATTCAGAATACTACCACTCATGAAATGTATTCCATTGTTTAGAAACAATACATAAAAAGAATTTATCGCTGCACTCTTTGTTTGGTAAAAAGTATGATCACTGCCTGTAGCTATATTCAGATTTAAAAGTCCTGTTTACTATAATAGGACAGATCATACTTATATGCCATGACAGAGAGCTTTAGTATTACTGGATATCTTCTATTATTACAATGTATATGACAATATCTGATATTTATTAGGAGATATGAAAGCTAAGCAACAGTCTGGAGCACAGCACAAAACAGAAACAAATATATGCAGAAGTGCAAATATAAATATAGGTTAATACTATTTTCATGATATAACTTATATTGTTTGTTGAACAGCATTTAAATATAAGAATTGTTTTTTATGGGTTTTAATAAAGTTAGGCCTGCATTATAAGGAGGATGGATGGCTTATGAAAGTAACTCTATCTAAATTGTTTAGTAAGTAGTAACTAATTGATGTGAAAATCTTGTCCATTCATTTCTTGAAAGAAGTCAGGCTATCAGTTTTTACAATAGGATAGTTTATTCCAGACTCCCACAAGCATTTGTGTCAAGAAATGCCTAAATGTTTTGAGTTTTAAATGTACTTCCCTTGTGTTTCCATCTGTGTCCTCTGGTGTGGGTTTAACAATTGATTCTGAAGACGTCTATAGTCTCTATATCGATTTTAAATATTTGAATTGGCTTCCATTTTAATGTTCTGCTCAAGACTAAGTTGTTTTAGTGTATCAGCATAGGGCATTCCTTGAGATCAGGATATATCTGGGTGCTTGTAAGAGCAGCAATATATTTTTTTGACCCAAATTGTATACAATATTCTAAATTAGATCTTAGTAATGACAGGTGTTGTCTAGTCTTGAATTCTCTCTTTGAATTTCTTCCTTTTAGTGCATCAAGATCCATCCAGCTCATGCCCGTTACCTAACTGGCATTGCACTCGGCTCCTATCCTTTGCCTTGTGGGTGGTGTGCCCACATAATTCCACATAGCAATTTTGGGCTGAGACATTTTTAAAAAATGGTTTCTCTGTAGAGCTACTACCCCCTGGCAGACCCAGGACATGTTAGAGGGATTATATTTCTCAGCTGGCATGGGAGTGCCTAGAGTCTCTTAAGAGGAGCTGGAGACTATTGCTGGGAAAAGGGCAGATTAGTCTGTTACCACTGCAATGGATGGAATTTGTTTTGTAGCTTTGCAAGTCCAATTTAGTGAGAATTTAGTGTCATCTGTGAAGTTCACTAATTTACTAATTTTATAGGAATATAGGTGAATCTGAATTTAGAAGAGTAGCAGGTCTCATAGTATCCCTGTTTGACTCTTCTACTTAATTATTGCTAATTATTGTACATTACTCCAGTTTGAGGATTCACACCTTACCTGTACTCATTTACACGTTCATAAACCAACTGCCTGTATTTCATTGAATGCTTACTGTCTGTAACTTGAAAATCAATCGTTTACCAGGGGTACAAATTATATTATTTAAATTAACTTGAATAAAACATTAAGAAGTAGAAAACTGAAGGGAAGTTAAGTCTTAAGTATTTCACAGTGATATTGTGCTTCTGTAGAACTGTAACGCAGTGGGGACATAATGAGCACACTGATTAGATTAGATACTGTTCTTTTCTCGTGTTCTTTGCTAGCTTATCCTTAAAACTTAAACAAACCATCACTATGGCAAGAACAAACAGGAATAGTGTCAAGTATAAAAACATGTACAGTGCTCTCAAAAATTATTGGGACAAGAGTTCAAATTAGCCCATTATAGCTGTCTGCTCATGAAATTTGGATTTCAAATCACAAGATGAATATGATACAGAAGCAGAGAATATCCCCTTTTAACTATGGGTATTTTTATGCATAAATGTTTAACAATTATACAACAAGAGCACTTTTTTTGTTCAACCCCCCCACATTTCAGATGAGCACAAACGGGGACAAATGGGTTTACAGCTGTTTCTAATTGCCCGGGTGTTGCATGTTGCATAAATTTCACACAAATACAAAAAGATCTAGACATGGTGAGATCTTTTGAAACTGCTTCTGAAGTCTTTCACTTGAATTTGTCAGCAAAAACCAACATACAAATCAGAGAACTCATTATGACAGAAAAGGCCATTCTGATAATGAGAGGAAAGAAAATTTGTTAAGACTCTTGAGATTGCAAAATCAACAGTCTGGAAAGGGAAAGAAATGAAGGGAGCCCAAAAAGACAAATGTAGTGGAAGACAGAAAAATATTTCTAAGAGTAAAGAAAAAAAACAAAATTACTGTTAGTGAAATCAAAAATATCCTCCAGAGTGTGGGGATCAGAGTGTGCAAATATCGAGTACCACAATCCACAGGAGAGTTCACCAGAAAAATGCAGTGGCTGTACTGCAAGATGTCAGCCACTCATCAGCAGCTCAAGAATAGAACAGCTCAATTGGAATTTGCAAAAACATATTGTGATGACTTCTGGAACACGGTTTTGGTTTATGGAGAGACCAAAAAAAAAACATCTATCAAAGTAATGGAAATGCTGAAGTGTGGCAAAAAAGAGGAACATCCAATGACCATACGTATACCACGTCTTCAGTAAAGCACGGTGGAGGGAGTATGTCTAAATCTATACTGGTCTTGGGCATGTATAGCTGCTTCCGGAACAGGCTCAATGGATTTTGTTGATGACTTAACTGAAGATGGCAGCAGTAGGATGAGTTCAGAGATAAACAGATCTTGTATGCAAATGTAAGAAAAAAGGGCACTACATTTTTTGGGCTGCAGTTCATTATGCAGCAGTACAATGACCAGAAACATATTGCATGCTTAACACACAGGAGTTCATCAGATGGAAAAAGTAGAACATTTTAAACTGGCTATGTCAAGCAACAGATCTGAATCCAATTGAGTATGCATTTCATTTGTTCAAAAGAAGACTTAAGGCAGAACGCCCAACCAACAAGCAACAACCTAAAGAGGCTGCAGTTAAAGCAGACCATCTCAAGTAAAGATACAAAGAGTCTGGTGATGTTAATGGGATGGAAGCTGGATGCAGTTATTGCATGCAAGGGATTTGCAACAAAATACTGACTTTTTCACTTTTTTAATTTGCTTCAAGTTAAGTGTCCCATTACTTATGGTCACCTCACCTAGATTTTGGGAGACTGAACACAACATACAGTATGCTTTGGTTGAAAAATATATCCTAAAAGTAAATGCTGACCTTTTGATCTCTGACTCAGAATAATTTGTTTTATGTTAATTTCAATTTCTTGTGTATATAACAGATTTTTGCACAGCATGTTGACAATTCTGCCACTATATAATTCTGGCGATATTACAATTGAAGAAGACTGCAAAAATCAAACCTGTACTTCAGGTCTTTTGATTTCTAATATATGTCAATGATTTCTTCCCAAACACAGTACCCATACACAATCCAAGTCACAGTGGCTTCAGGGAACAAAGTTCAAATTGATCAATTACAATTTAAGGACATCAGTGTTTCAAGAGAGGCCATATGGACTGGCTACTCTGTTCATCAAGATAGTATAGAAAAAAGGATTCGATAACAGGATCTGCTGCAAGGAAGACCAGGTAGGTAGACTTTATAATGCAGACAGATTGACACCATGTTTGGTTGAGTTGGTTGTAGCTGTATGATTACACAGCTAGATGTGTTGCATCTTATAGTATACATAACAGGAAGCATATAATTATATACACAGAACATAACAGGTTGCTGCTACTTCTGATATTAATTTCCATCTGTACACATTATTAAGGTGGCCCTGAACAGGCTGGTCCCAACCTGGGACATCATGGTTCACAGAATTGCCATATGGAATTGACCTATAACTAATGGGTTTCTCATATTTATTTTCCTTACTGTATTTTATATTCAAACACTAGATTAATACAGTCATTCCCTCTAGTACATGCTGAGACAACTGAGTTGTCTTTCAAAGAAAACAATTGTTACCCATGTCTACCATTACAGTTTTTAACTGCTGATATCCCTAATGGTTTTCAGAGGAAAATAAAAAATCTCACATCATAACCACTTCTGTCATTGCTCATACATTGCTGAGTTCATTATATTAAACTTTTGTAATTAATGCGTAAATCGAGCATACCTCCTCCTTACACTACGCCTGTTCATTTTTTGCAAGTCTAACTCATATAGTTTCTGAGATCTTTAATTGATCTACTGTAGCTTAGGTTATACAGTAATGTTTGAATGCCCTTTTGTGTCTCTCCAAAACAGCGTGCATCCATTAATACCTTACAATCAATCATCACTCACTCTTGCCATGCCATGTACAGTGGATATAAAAAGTCTACACACCCTTATTGAAATTACAGGTTCTTGTGATGCAAAGCCAGAAATCAAGATCATGTCA